GAAAAAAATGTGTTTAGTATTGCCATTTCTAAACATTCTATCAACTGCAGACTCTCTGCGATATATAACCGGCAAGTAGAAACCGAACCACAAGCAACAAAAGCAGCAATCTTGAAAAACAACCGATATCGTCTCATTCCTCATCGGCAGTCTGGGGACACTTGTGTTCGACTGTTGTCTGCAGTGTGGTATTCCGACTCACGTACAAGAAACATGACGCAATAAAGATGAGTGGGCGAGCTCTGGGAGAGTAATGCGAGCTGACAGCGACAGCTAGCAGAACTCTTATACGAATCTGGAGCGCAGACATTTGACTCTTCATCGTGTTCAGGATAAAAGCCCATAACTGACCATGGATGTTGGTCGCTTGTGCGTGACGATGGGAGATGCGTGATTGGGGCGAAAGGACTACGAGGTCATTCGTAACTCGGACAAATAGAAAAGTTTGAATAATCTTTGGGAAGAGGGTAGGCGATACAAAAGTTGAGTAAAAAAAGTTGGGTTTGGTTAAAACAAAAAAAAATGCGATTTGGTGGAGGCGCCGGGATAAATACATAGAAGATATAAGTAAGAGAAAAACTATAATGTTTTTAATCAAGGATATTATTTGTCAAACGCAAAAAAAGGTTTTTTTTATTTTTATTTTTTGAAATTACAATATTTTAGTATTTATAAACAAATTTAGTTACATAAAACTTTGAAGTTTGTCAAACTTGCTTAAAGTCAATCACCTTGTATGTAAACATGATTAGTTATTAAATTGAACTTAGTTTAACTTAAGTAGATCATCTGGAGGATAATCCTTTGAACTTGAAGATTATTTCGAATTTCGCTCAGAGCTGAATTGTCGCGGGGTGTATAAATTTAATTCAATGAAAGACATTGAGAGTTTCTCTCAAGTTAAGATTTACCCAAGTCTTCATTTAGCGTATGAAGACATCCACTATGCTATACAAATCAATCAACGCAGTGTGAAATAAATCCCGGCCGGAGCTAAGACACCACATTTTATCGTTATGGCCGAATAAAAATAAAGTAGCACAATGTACAATCTGCGGAGTTTAAAAGTCGCCATCCTAAATTCCAATCTGCTCTGATAAATCCCGAGATATTTGAGAGTTCACAATGGCCGACCTTCGTAATCCTATCAGGCATCATGACATCACTTATGGCCGCTGCCGTTTTACTTTGGTATCAGACGGAATACGCTGCCGTGTAAATTAGCGATTTAAAAAATCGCGGCAAGCGTCCAAGGCTATACCAGTGTTTAGGTTCTTTGCAAGATTGTAATCTACATAATGGCATTTTAATGTAATTTAAGAAAAAAGTTTCATTGTTTGGCATGTTACTGGAAGAGAAGCAAGGCTATGCTAACAATCTACCGAGAGATTTACGTGGCGCTTTCAAAGAGACACGACGACTGTAATTCTTTATCTTACAATATTTTATTTGCTTTAAATTCTTTTAAACTTAAATTAAAAATACTTTAAGTTGCCGATATTAGGTAAGTTGCATAAAGTAAGAAATAAATTAATTTTTTTATAGTAAAGGATAAAAGCAACACCAGGCTTAAATATACTCACCGGCACAAAATTCGATCCATTAATTTTATTTTATTTTTCTCAACTAATCCTTGTTCTACACGACAGCAATTTTTTGAGAACTTTAAATTACACATTTTAAAACAAGTATAAACAAAAACCAGCTTAAATTATATAACAGTTTTTTTTATTTTTCCGATGATAAAAAAATGCAAAATTTTACGAACACGTTAAATCCTGAATTAATACCTAATAAAGAATTAAGACCTAAACTGAAGTTTAATATTGTGTGTTGCCCTTCCTTATAACTGCCATTCTTTTTGGCATTCCTTCAATAAGATGTTCAATCGCTTTTTGGTCAATTTCTTTCCAAATTTGAGTTACTGCCACACTTAGCTCTCTCAAAGTTGCAAGAGCAGGAACTCTGCGTCGAACCTTTCTTCCCACCATGTCCCAAATATGTTCAATAGGATTTAGGTCAAAGCCTTTGTCGTCCGTCTGGAGAATGAAGACAAAACCTCGACTCATCAGAGAAAAGAACTCGGCTCCAATCAACAACATCCCAATTCTCATGTTTATGAGCAAAACGTAATCGCTCGACTCGATGCTCTCTGGTCAATTTGGGGGCATTTGCTGGTCTTCTTGTAACTAATCCTTCTTCCTTGAGTCTTCTTCTTACTGTTCTTACGCTTATTGTCACACCCCTTACCTCTTCTAACAAGTTACGAGCATGAACTCAATGTCCCTATTTCTTAATACTTGCAGTGTGAGAAAATGATTATCTCGATCTGTGGTACATCGCTTTCTTCCTGATCCAACTCTCCTAGTGTAGCCCCCAGTTTCGCGAAACCATTCTACAGCTCTCTGCACCTTGCACCTCGAAACTCCAAGAACTCGAGCTGTGTAATATTGCGATCTACCATCTTGATATAGAGCAATTGCTCTTTAAAATTTAAAACCATATTTACTTTTAGAAGGCTAAATTACTTCTACGCGCTTCAAAAAATGACAAGAATAATGACAAAGGGCATTATAATAGGTATCACGATAAAAGAGAATTAGAAAAAAAGTTTAAAAAAGTCCTCAAAATTTTATCGCACGCTCATTTTTTTGTTTGTTGGTTTTAACAATAGTTAGAAATATATCTTATTTCTGTTTAAAAGTTCTCTGACCAAAAGAAAAAAAATCGAAAATGTTTTTGAAAAAATAAAGTGTGGATCGAATTTTATGCCGGTGAGTGTAATAAGCTTTTTTGTAAAACCAAAAAAAGCTTTAAAAACTTTGTTTATTGTGTTGTACTTGCCTATTAAAAACAATTATAAATTTTAATGTAGTTTAGTTTTTATGATAATTTTATTATTTATTTCTTTATCTTATTGAAAAAAGGATATTTATCTGTAACATATTTTATTAAGTTCTAAAAAAAGTACACTCATAGTAAAACACAACTAAAATTGGTTTTCTGCTCCACTAGCTTCGTCATGCGACTGGTTTTAGGTTTCGACTGTGATCAAAAATTAAATCAGTAAATGAGTAAAAAACAAATAAAATAAACTCACCTTAATTGTGTTTTAATCTCGTAGGCACTTTGTCAAGCAATATTTTCTCAAGTTTGTTTCTTTTTCTGGCATTTGTTTGGCTTTATTTTCTTTGCCATTTACTTTCCTAACTCCTTGATTCAGTTTAAAATTTTCTTTCACCACTTCAATCATTTTTATTGCCAAATATTTCACATGTTCTTCTCGTAAATGTGGATATCTTTGTTTAATGTTTGTTACTGCTTGATTTAAAAACACAGAGTAATTATTTTTGACACAGTTATCAACGTCTTTGTCAAAAGAACAGGTACTTGAGTTTTGGGGATCCATCTTAGTCAAAACTCACGTTTAAAATGAGAAAAGTCATGTTAAAACTTGTCTTTTACTACAGATTAAAGGTGTTTGGCCAATCAGGGCCTTGCTCAAAGACTAGATGGAAGGGTGGAGCGAGGGAAAGTTTATCACTACGTAACAGTAAAATAAAATTATTTTATCGAGAAATAAGAATTTTATTTTAACAAAGTTTTATCTCTAATTGATTCTTTATTGCACGCCCTAAAAAATTTATTAACTAAAAATGGTGTAGGTTGTGTTAGTTGGGTAATAAATAACGTTAATATGTGTATTTTGCCTTAGCTCGAGGAATTTGCGTGGCATAAAAACAAACCCTGCAATGAATTATTTAAAACTATAGACATGCGACTGAAATTGCATTATAATGTAAGAAAATATAAAGTTTTAAACATAATAATTGTACAAAAAATCGAGATAAAATCGCACTTAAAGTACTGTAAATTTTAGTGTAACAGTAAATTAACCAGCAATATTGAAAAAATATTTCAGTGTACATTTTCCGAGATGAAAAAACTTGCAGCTTGTAGCTACCTTCATCAATCAAACAGACATACAATATACGAGGGTGGAAACTTTTCCGTCATAACATCCTTTTTTATTTCAGTTTAAATCGACTAATACTCCATATATTTTTTGAGCTAAACGACACGAGTTTGATCAACTCGTACTAAAGTCGTTTTGTAAAGTACAATTTTGTGCTTCTTTGCAAAAGCAAAGACCATATTTCATTTTTTCGAAGTGTCCACTGCTATGACATGTCTGCTTTGTGGCTTAGTTTTACATCCTGCTCTCTAATAAAACAGCAGGGCCACGCCGTAAAAACAGGTTTATGAAACTATCTCGTATAGAAATATGTAATAAAATACGTCTTTTTGAAATTTTAAAGACGTCTTTTGTTTAATTCCGTTGTAGGTTTTTGAAGGTGGCGACCCCATCGTTGCGTCGGATTTTTTGTCATTTTTACGGTCAGCCAGTTTATGGTGCGAGATGATAGCGTTAGTAACGGCTTTATGAACAGCACAGCCTCTCCTTATTTCTTATCACAGAGTCTGCTGGGATTGCGCTTAGTAGTTTGCAGCTCGTACGCAACATCACATTGCCCATAATGAAGCCGTTCAGGATTTATACTTATTTAAAACGACGCGAGGCAATTCTAAACAAAAAATACGTTTTGTGGGGAGGAGCAGAGTAATGAGAGCGGTTTTGCGGATTATCATGTTCCTTAGTTCTAGATTTTGAACTTTGCATTTTTTTGTTTGTTTATACATGTCTCAGCGTTTAAATTGCTAATAGAGGTTTAATATATTATATGTGTACACAATGCATGACTAATTCTTTTCTGTACTAATTGAAAATTGGCCCCATGTGATGAGGGTGAAAGTGGGTCCTGCTTGGTATCCTGCTGGGATCAATAACTCCTGCATAAAGCTGACAGAATATAAAACTTTCTAATGCCACAGCTTTATCTCTGCTCGGTAAAAAAGTATGTTTTGTCATTAGACATTTGATGAACTATTTTTACAAGATGTTTCATCGTTGTACCTTTCAAAATAATATTCTATTAAAATGTAATATACTCGTATAATTTATTACTAAAATTTGTTTATGACTTTGTGAAAAATGAAAGTGGTCAATATATTCATTTTTTTTTAATTTTAGTCACAAGGACAACATTCTTCTTCGCCTTCATCTTTCGCCACCTTACAGCTCTCCGCATCGACTATTTTACAGTAAACTTGATGTGACCAATTACTGACAGTGGTCGGAAATCCTGCAATCGCTGAAAAAGTCTTCGTGACAATCGTGTTCCACTTCTGCTGTATCTCATAAGCACTGCTTTCCGAATCAATTGGAAACTTGTCACAACAGTACGGGTCTTTCTCGAACATCTGCAATAAAACATTCAAAATGCTTGATGCGGTCTATTAATACGTTATGAAGCTTTGTGATTAGGTTAAATTATTTGAGTACAATTATGTTTAAATAGCACTTAAGACATTTTCACAGATGAATAGCAAGTGGGAAATGTAGTGGAGGGCGCGTTTGTCTTTGTCGTAATAGAAAACTGCTTAGAACTCTTGAGATCGTAACTCACTAAAACGTCGCTGCATTTCTGACGAATTGCAAACTTGCAGAGACAGTTGTTGCGGAAGCTCAATGGGAATTGTTGTTGTTGGTCGGTCGCTAGAAGCTTTGCTTGCTTTCATGCAGTGTTATAACGTGGCACTGTTTATACCAACGGGTTTAGTACTTACCTTGACCGAGGCGTAATTGCCAATTTACACATTCAGTTTTAATTAATCTAAGCAAATAAGCCAGCAACAAATCTGTGCAAAATACGCTGTGCAGCGGTCTATAGGGCCTAAATATCTCACTAATATGAAAATTGTATTCTCAAAAGAAAGTAAAATGTAAAGCTAGTATAGCACATTTTAAAGAGGCACTCGTTCATTATAACCACCTCTCTTGTACTCACGTTAAATAGCTCCATCTCTGCCTTACACGACGACGTCAGAGGTTTTTCCTTTACCGGTTCTATAAAATTGGGCAAAATGGCATTACAAACGTTCTTGTAGAGCTCTCCCGTGGTCTTTGAGTCACCCCAAATTCCCATATCGTAGGTCACATAAACGGCCCCTAAAGCCACTAGGCTTTTTGCGCCTAGCCCCAGTAGTTTTCCTAATCTCTGTAGCAAAGTGGGCCGCGGGATTTTGGGAGGACATGGGCACGGAGGTGGTGCACACATCTTTTTGAGTTCGGCCCCTGTACATATTTTAATTCGCTTGACTTGAGGACTGGATATCGCTGAAATGAAAAAAGCAATAAAGTTCAAAAGCGCAAAGTTTTAATTATGCGCTTAAATAAGTCGATTCTGGTTTCTTGACACTAAATTTCAGTCGTAAAAATTAAATTTTAATTAATTCAGCGAAACTGTTCTTTACAATGTTTTAAATGTTTTATTACGCATGAAGAGATACGATTATTCATAATTATACTTGAGTTTTCCAAGTTGGTGGGTAAATGAATTCTTACGAGGTATGTAGGTTTTTGGCTGAGGTTTGCAAGCTTCTCCCTTTTCGCGCTCATAGACTAGAAGATTTGTTTTTTTTACACAAGTTTGCTTCGCTGTGTTGATAGTTTTGTCAGGACAAACACGAGATTTAGACATCTTTAAATTAATAATAACCAAATTTGACAGTTTTTCTTAATGTTGCCCGACTGTCAACAAAAAAAATAAAACAAATTTGAAATGTCACAAAGTATGGTAACACAGTTTTCGGGGTGCGAAAACGTCAACGATCTTTGACGTGTTTTCTTGAAATTCCTATATATAAGTTACGGATAGATTCAATAAAAGAAAAAATTTTTCATGGGGAAACCCTCTAGATGGCATGTATTTTCTCCGGTGTACATGCTGTGAATTTATTTTGATGCTCGATGCTGCGGTATTTCATGAGCAATCACTCATCCTGAGATGGTTCGAGGACGTATAAAAGGAAGACGTACAAGGACTCGGCGCGGATAAAGACGATGGGTACGACGCAAGTGTGACAGGATGTTATACTGTATAAATAAGGTGATGATTTTACGACGATAACATTTTTTCCCTTTTTTAACCCGTCTTGCACTGGCGATAAATCCGACAATAGTGCTGACTTCGAACAACTCTCGAGCGTTTGTGTAACGTCTTTTGTGCACTTACGACAACTTTTGCATGGGCGATTGCGGCGATTCAAGCGCCAAAGCTATGACTGCGGTGATTTTACTGTTACTCATTCATAAAACAAGTTGTACACTGAGATTACTCTTTGGTTTACACTTTAAAGTTAAGAAAAATAAAGACTACGATTTTATTTATACCTACGTATTAAATTAAGTTTCTAAAAAATCGCAGATCTTTATAAAGAGAAATTGACTGAGGTGAGATGACAACATTTATCAGTGATTCCATTCCCACTATTAAGAAGCTCGACCACAAAAAAATATTAAATTGTATTTTATTTTATTTTTCAGAGAGCAGATGGCACATATTTTTATGTTATCTTGTTTCAATTTACTTTGACTATTTCATTCATTTACATTTCGGCCAATAGCATCTCGTCATTCAACAATGAGTAAAAAATTTCAATCGATAAAATTGATGAAAGCAACATTTTATCACCTTCACCTCATATTTAAAGCCAATGAGTGAAGGATATTTACGAACAAATCGAAAACAAGCCAGTTTTCAAGTGATAAAATTTTACCATGGTCTAAACAACTTCTGTCGTTTAAAATATTTTCACAGTTATTTCATTTAATTTGATTATTCATGAAATAGTCCTCCGAATACCATTCGGGGTAAAATTTGGTCTGGAAAAATTTTTCGATTGATTTACTCGAGTTTTTGTTGCCAATTTAGCTCGTGACATTGTTCAAACAATGTTACTCGATAAATTGCTATGCAACAAACTCTCGTACAATCTGAAAATTTTGCGGACAAAATTTTACCACTTATGAAATTACTACAGAAAAATCATTGTGATAAACGTCGTTTTAAAAATGTTGGCAGTAACTGTAACAATTATAATCTTCTGAATTTTTTTAAAGTATGTAGGTGCCGTATTAGTAAACCCTTGCTAGTGTTGGTTGCTAAATACGCTGCAAATACGTTTGGTGGAGGAAGTTGGTGCATATCTACCGGGTACGCGGAAAATCGTTGCCGGTTATTGTTAATTGGAGTAAAGCGAATTAAGTCGAGTTTTAAGCGACTTATACATGTTATAATTTCCGCGATGACGGCAAACTCGTTAATTAAACTTAACGAAATTAGGCTGCTTAAGCTACGACTTAAAACATGCGAAAATTTCCATAATGCGGTGTGCTGCTGACATAAACAGAGCGAAGCGGTGTACTCGAGTGTAAAATCCTATACGTCTTGTGTTGTTCTGTGCGACGGTGGTTCAAGATTGAAGCATAATATTGACAGAGATCTCCCGATGTGTGTACTCAGCCGTATGTCAACACCCCCGCGCTCTCAGCTAACGTTTCCTCTATTTTACGATTCTCCACACCCACTCAACTTTTTTCACTAGACGGAAATTCTATTACTTTATTAGAGAAGGTAGAACGTCAGATTTTTAGCTAAGAAAGCAAATTGTTTGGTAATAAATAACAAGTCGGGGTTGTAAAGCACAATAAATGTATGTATCAGAGCAAGACATTTGCGAGAGTTTGTTTCGTATGAACAATTGCTCACGCAGCTATAGCACGTAACTTTGGAATAATATGCTCAAAATAGCGCCATTTATTCTAGGAATGTACACGACTGAAATTGATTTATAATCTTTTCGGGTGCTGTTCTTGTAGATATTGTATTTTTTAGTATTCGAATAATTTTTCAAACAGCGTATTGATTTTCTCTGCTTTCAAAGTTATTACATCGGTAGCAGATGTAACATTCATTGGTCAATTACCGTGCAATCTACTTCAAACTGCTAATGAAACAGCAAATGTAGCTTTACGTTGCTACTATCACAAAATAACACTAGTTTTATTGGTTTTGTTCCACCGGATAGATGCGAGTGTTAATCTTGTTAAAAACTTTATTCTCATTTAAAATAACCCCAACCCTTGTCATTCTTTTTCGCAAAACAATTTTTGATAAAATTACAAACGTGTTGTAGATTTATGCTAAAAATTTGTTGGCAGCGGATTTGCATGTTTGCATTTACGATTTGTTGATGTTGAATTCGTTCCGATACATTTCATCAATGCTAATTTTTCGATGGAATGAACACTTTGTCCTATTAACACTATTCGTTTGGCACCTGTGAAAGTTGTTCCCGGAATTATTTGGTAGTTTGGATGTTGCGCTCCATTATTTACAACTGTTTTTCAAAAGGCCATAATAAATTTAGCGGCAACAAGGCCCATCAATAGTAATCAATATCATGTACTTACAGCATCAGCATATCCACTCGCTCTAATTGCCGGAATTAATCAGCAAACAATGTATGCGTGCGTGTTGTCTCGTGTACCAACATTACAGTATAAACACGCCTGATTGAGTTTTAACAAGAAAATCCTACGCCACTTCACAACAATTGCATTTTATGACCAAATTGCCGATTTACCATTTGCATGTCTTTTTTTTTCGACGTGAAAAAAATGTACACAGAAATTCAATCTAGTGATAGAATTATAGAAAAAGTATAGAAATTTGTTCTACAGTTTTAGTAAGATAAAAATCACTAAACTTAATTTCAAAATTTTCTCTTACAGCTTGAAATGCACAAAACTTGTGCTTTACAGAAAAACAAATTTAGTTTACAATTTTGCAATGAAAAAACAAATATTAAAAATAAACGAAAAAACTAATGCAATTAATTACAAAGATTGATTAGCAAATTAATGTTATCGTATTATATTAGAAATTATTGTAAACCTTTTACCTTTTATATACCAACTTATGGTAGCATTATGGGTAAGTTATCTTAACAGATATTTAAGTTATTTTTTTAATGAAACCTAAAGGGAAGATTTTATGAAAACGGATCAGATTATACAGGGCAATTCAGATAAGATAATGATCATGACGCTGTGGCAATGCAACCCAAAAAACAAATTTCATTTACGCCTTTGATCCAATTGAAATTAGGATTTTCAAATTGAATCCAAGTTATTATCTTATGTCACCCTGACATCAGTGCAGAGAACGTTTATTAGTGCCATTCAGTTCTCGGAGAATGATAGAGAAATTAGAAAAGTCTTTTCGGTGTAAACCCAATACAAAATGTATGAAAAAATGAAACATGACAATGACAAAAAGTTTTTTTATAAATCATAAATTGCTTGTCAAAGCACTGTGAGATAAGATAACTTGGATTGCAAATGCAAATCTGATCTAATTAAAATCTAATTAAAATTAGATGAAGACATAAATGAAATTTGTTTTTTGGGTTGCATCGCCAGATCGTCAGGCTCATTATCGTATATGAATTGCCTTATATGAGTATCTGAAAAATTCTCTAAAAATACATTTTATCCGGAAACGCCAAAAAAATGACGCTTTTATGACTAAATGACACAAGTAAAAGTTTTACCTTTCAGACATGAGGTAAAAATACTGTTTTTTCGCCTAAGCGATTTTCACTTTTTTCGCTGCTTTAGCATTTTCTAGAGAGGTTCAGTGTAGATTATCAGCATTTGGACATTTTGCACTATAAACTACACTAGGTATTTACTAGTTAAATCAATACCTAAACACTTTTAAAAATCTCAACACAAGTTCCGAAACTCAGGCATAACGTTTGTTATGATTTCATTGCAAAGCGTCCTGACTATATTGGTCATTTATTTGATAATTATATATTACTCTTTTCTCCCTATCTGAATCGTTTGCGGCGAAAATAGAATATATTATTTGGAGTAAAAGTGAGTTGATGTGGCTCACCTGAATTATTTGCCTCACTCCGTTGGGCAAAATAAACGTTCAGCTTCGCCACATAAACTATCACTTTTACTCCTAATAACATAATATACTATTTGTAATTAAGCTTCACCTGAGCTCGAACATCATAAAAATAGTATATTATAATACTAGTTTATAAGCAAGTCTTTAAAACACGCACGACGGGTTTAAGAGCACGACTCGTCAGCGGAATGCTTTTAACGTCGTAAGTGTTTTAAAGGCGCTTATAAACGAGTGTTATACATTATTTTTTATTATACCTGCCCATTTACGATCTTTTATCAGTATTAAAAAAATGTGAATTTATACAATAAAATTATCAAAGATTGTTTGTGAATCGTTTTCGTAGAGACGGTTGCTACTTTACTTACTTACTTTACGCACATTTTTTCACGTTGTAATTGTTCCAGACTAGAGTTCCTATATTTGAAGAGTTGGGACATTGAACGTCAAACCGAGCCAATTTTGTATTATGTGGATAAGGTTCTATCTTTTTTCATTAAAATTTTTCGTAGCAACTAATGTCAAGTTTATTTCAAAAATTATTTTAAGGTTATAAATTTTGTCGCATTGACAAATTGATATAATTTTACGTCAGATTTGGTCAGGGACGTAGGAGATAAATGGACATTGAGATGCAGCCAGACAGGAAAAAATTATGTGTACACAGTGGGTTGTATACAGCATTTACCATGAGTAATAAAAACTTGATAGTGTTTCCAGAAAACGTTTTAAAACCTGAAACTTACGAAATAAGTAGACTTGA